TAGAAGCAATGACACCTCAGTAATCCTCAGTGTCCGGCTCAAGCTCCGGCCGCAGCTCCGGCTCGCGATGCCCCACTCCGTGACCCTGCGCGGCCCTTCGCCCTGGGGCTTCCGCCTGGTGGGCGGCCGGGACTTCAGCGTACCCCTCACCATCTCGCGGGTGAGTCCAGCGGCCACAGGGCGGCGGGGAGGTCCTGAATCTGAGACCCAGTCCTTACAGTCCACCCGGGACCCGAATCCCCGACGTCCTGGAGGCTCGAAGGCCAAGGGTTGGCCTCGGTGACCCACAGGCTGTAGAGGAGGCTTCCAGGCTGGGCAGCGTCGCCTCAGCCCCCTCCCCCTCCCGCTGGGCCTACCTGCCCTTATCCGTTGAAGGATTCCCCCCAAGAGTTCACAAACCAGCCTCCCTGCTGGCCTCATTCTGGGGGACTCACTGCAGGCCAAAGTCATGGGCCAGAGATCTGGACTGATCTCCAGAGGCCCAGAGATGCTGCTTCGACTGAACCCAGCCTGAAAATTTCAAGCGAAATGACTTGAGAGACTCCTTCGCTTATCAAGTGTCCCTGCCAGTAGAGCTGAGTGATCCCAAGGAGGTCTGGGGTCCTCTCTGAAACTGAAGAAAGAAAGATCCATCCAGTTCCCCACTCTGGTTTTGGTCAGTCTCTCATCCATGACCTCACTTGTCCTAAGGGGAAGTGACCAGGAGGAATTTTTGGCTTCCAGGGAAAAGGGAGACTTGACTATGCAGTTGTGAGACCCCCTTGCCACAAGACACACAAGGCCAGGGGCCAGGATAACCTCCACCCAGTTCCTCAAGTTACTGTGGCCATGCACTGCCCCAGGTTTAGGCAGAGGAGGAGGAGGAGGGGGCACCACCCTGGGCGGTGGCTAATCTGAGGAGGACAGAGGAACAGAGGACATGACTCGGGCCCTGTCAGAGGGGGTACCCAAACTGGGAAAGACAGGATCCTGGCTTTTGGGTCCCATATTTGAAGGGCCAGAAGAGGGGACTCAGACGCTGCCCCTGGGGGTCCCAGCCTAGGGGACAGAAGAGGAGAGAACCCAGGCCCTGCCCTTGGGGCTCCTAGTCTGAAGGGAAGAGAGAAGGGGACCTGGGGCCATCCCTTGACCCCCAAGCTGCTCTGGTCTTCGGGGCCCTGTATCGGGGGAATTGAGAGCACCTTCCCCCCCACCCTTCCGCCACCTCTCGCCATGGGGGCTGGACCAAGCTGGCTGGGCTTTCAGAGTCTTCTTTCCAGTTTAGGGGAAGGGGTGGGCACCTGGTGGAGCATGGAATCATGGAATCCCGTTTCTGGGGGCCAGGGTGACAGGCAGGCCCAGGTGTCCTGGGAGGATTCCCACATCTGCCCTCACCCCATGGCCACCAGGTCCCTGGGGCTGAGTGAGGTGGGCCTTCAACACATCCGGGAGCCTTTCATCTCCCACTTCCCTGAGAGAGCCCTGCTGGGGGCCTGTGTGTGTGTGAGAGAGAGAGAGAGAGAGAGAGAGAGAGAGCGTGCACATCTGTGACTGCCAGTGAGTGTCATGCTGTGTGGACGTCCACCACCAGGGCAGCCTGTTGGGGGTGCTAGGCCAGCCGGCGGGCCAGGCACCCTGGGCGTGAGGCCGCTGACAGGCTAAGTGGCAGCGGCTGACGGCCGCAGGCAGCAGGGAGCAGAGACATCTGTTGCCCACGCGGCTGCCTGCCCGCCAAGGAAAGGCCTCCACACGTCACAGCGGCAGCAACAGCGGCGGCCTTGTTTGGAGCTAATCGGGATGCAGGCCGCTGGCAGGCAGACAGGCTGGAAAGGGTTTACCAGGAAGAACACCCCCGCCTTGTCCCCCCAAAGTCACAGAGCAGCAGCTAAGGCCTGAGGAGCCAGGATGGCTGAGCCTCGGTTTGGGTGGGATCTGGGGAGATTTATGGGACTGAGGAGACACAGGCCGCAGCTTGCCCAGCAGGTACCTCAAGGGCAGGTCTACAGACACTGATTATATGTGGGAGCGTCCTCACCGAGGGGGTTCAAGACCCGACCCCTCCCATGCTTACGGGACTTCCCCCACCCAATGGAGACAGCCACACTCAGACAGAGAGGAGGCTGGCTGCCTGGCAGAGCTGGGACTATGCAACCTCAGCCCACAAAGCCTCTGGGAGCCCCCCCCCCCAACATTGCCCAGGGCTCCTTCCTCACAAACTAAAGTGACTACTGGCCTTGGAATCCTAATGGATTGTTGCTACCAGGTCCCTAGAAACTAGTGCCTGGAATGAACTCCACTAACTGTATGCCCAGCTCCCTGTAGGGGCTTTTTGCATCTAGGCCAGATGGAGTGATACAGGGGCTTTAAATGTAGCTGCTATAGGTGAAGGGGCTGGTTCACGCCCCAGCCTCCCAGCTGACTTCACCACTCCCCTCTCTCTTCCTTCTGTCTGTTTATCCTGCACTCAGCAGCCAGAAGGATCAGCCTGAATTCAACTCTGTCTTGCGATTTCCCTGTTTAGAATCCTCTCACCTGGGCCTACAAGGCCTGTAGGTCTGGTCCCTGCTTTTTCCTCTGATTTCATCTCTTCCACTCTCTCCTCACCGATATTTTGGTGATATTTTTGCCACAGGAGCCTGCTTTTACTTTCACTCCCAGATGAGCCATTACACATGCTGATCCTTCTACTTGGGACACTGTCTCTCCCCTCACTCCCTTTTTCAGAAAAGCACACTGGTTAAGAGCATAGCATTTGGAATCAGTTGGTCTGGACTGAAATCCTAACTCTGCCGTTTATCAGTTGAGTGTCCTGTACTTCTCTGGACCTTGGTTTCCTCATCTAGGAAATAGGCTTGCCTTGAGGACTAATGAAACAATGCATGTAAAGGCAGTTGGAAGAGTCACGGTTTCCTGGCCTCACGCCCTCTCTGACCAGAACTCCCAAGCTAGCAGAACTGGCAGAGTCCCAGCCACCCCTGCTTTCGAGAACTTCCTCCACCCACAGGGGCCTGAATGCACCCCTTGTGCTGGCTGAGTCATCTTGCAGCTAGCCGCCCCCCTGAGGAAGAAGACTCCTCTCCAGCATGGGGACTGGGGCAAAGCACCTCATCCCCAAAGCCTCTCTTTCTTCATCTGAAAATAGGGATGAGAACAGCCTCTGTCTCATCAGGTGGTTGAGAGGTTGCCATGAGCTAGTTATGGCTAAAGCACTGAGCCCAGGCCATGTCACAGAGCAGGTATCCGTGTAGGAGAGGGGGCCTAGAGCAGGGCCTTGGGGGGAGGGTGGGATGGTGCCAAGTGGGTGCCTTCCCTGGGAAGACAGGCCTTTGTAGGTGCCCATGCCCTACAAAGGAACATTAATGGTGGGCTGGTTGGCTGAGGGTAGCATGCTCCAGAAGAACATTCCTTGGGGCAGCCTATTTCAGGGCAGGTTGCTTGGCAGTACCCACACCAGGACTCCAGCCAAGGAGCTGCCAGCACCTCAGCTTTGTCCACTCACTACAGAGAACCGGCTAAGCTGAGCCTGGCCAGGCCTCCAGGAGCTCCCACCCCAACAGGGACAGTGCCACTGACAGCTCTTGAGCCACAGCTTGAGAGGCTGGGAGGAATGAGGGTCCTTAAAGTCTCTTTCCAAAGGCTGTGCTGGGACCAGGGACAGGGTAAAGGATGTCCTGTTGCCTGAATTCCCTCCCGAGGCTGCTTACTTAGGCCTCCTGTGAGCTTATTCCCAACCTCATGTGGCACATGTCAAGGGACCAGCATTGTAGGAGGCTCCAGATGTGGACACTGCTTGACCCTCTGGGATCAACAGTGGCACTGGGGTGGCCTTTGTGCCTGTCCTCCAGAGGAAGGGGAGGTGAAATTGTGACCCGGGAGTGCAGGCTGGCAGCTAAAAGTAGATGGCCCTCGACTTGGCCTGGGGAGGTGACAGCACAGAATGAGGCACTAACAATGTTAGGGGAGCAGAGTGGTAAAGGGGGTGCACAGGGTACTGTGGGACCCCAGAGGAGAGGCTTCCAGGAGAAATGGCCTCTGCTGAGAGCCTGAGACCTGAAGGATGAGGAGGTGTAAGCTGGTAATTAGGATTTGGGGTCAAAGGAAAGTGTGTTCCAGGTAGAGGGAACAGCATCTGTAGAAGTGTGAAAGTGAGAGCTATCTGGTACCCGTGAGTACCCCCTTGACGTTCAGATGGTCTGGATAGAGTGTGGGTGTGTGGAGGTAAATGTGGAGGGGTGGGGATGAGAGGAAAAAAGGTCACTAAGGGTTTGAACATCAGGTCAAGGGGCTACTATGTGGTCTGTGTGGGTGGGGCAATATAGGGTACATGTGACATGTCCATGCTTTATATCTGCTGGAGAACACATATCCTTCTGTGTTCCTTGCATGTATGCAGGCTGCAAGAGTGACATCCCATTTGTCCCAGCCCAGAGGAAGCCCCTCTCATATGGCCTTCATACCTTACCAGACCTCCAGGTGCTGGAGTTGGGCTTGTTTAGAGCAGAGGCTTCAGCAAAGCCATGTGGGAACTCAACTTGCCCACCCACAGATCACATTGGCAGCAGGGCTACACTGGCCCAGTTCTGAGGTTGGAAGGGGTCTAGAACAGAGCCTGCAGCAAGGCCACATAATGACCAATGTCCAGCCATCTGGCTTGTCCATCCACAGGTCCATGCTGGCAGCAAGGCTTCCCTGGCTGCACTGTGCCCTGGAGACCTGATCCAGGCCATCAATGGTGAGAGCACAGAGCTCATGACACACCTGGAGGCGCAGAACCGCATCAAGGGCTGCCATGACCACCTCACACTCTCCGTGAGCAGGTACGCACAGGGCAGGCTGGGCCAGGATGATGCGGGTGAATCAGGGGAGGCTCGGTTCTGCGTGGCCAGCATCCTGGGTGAGCTGGGCCTCACACAGCCTGTCTGCATCAGCTCCCTGGTACCCCACTCCTATGGAGCAGCACTTTCACAGGGGTTTGACAGGCACTGTTTGGAGATGCAGGTGGCTTAAGAGAGGAAGAAGCCCCCATTTAACCTATGGCTGGAACTATGCTGGGGGACTTATGGCAGGGGGTAGGCAGCCCAAAATCAGGGCTGAACTAAGACCTTGGGTAGCCTCAAACCGGCGGTGAGGTGTGTGTGATTTCAGTCCTTTTCCCACCCATGAGTGATGAGCTTGATGACCAGTTCAAAGAATTTTATCGTTCAACACCTTGTTTAACTGTCAAACCAACTAGATAAGGTAAAACCTAATATAGTCTCCACTTTACACATGAGACAACTGAGACTCAGAAAGTTTGGAGCGTGCTTCAAGTCACACAGCAGAGCAATGGGGAAGCAAGATTTGACCTCAGGTCTCTCTCACTCCCAAAGACTCCATTCCTTCTGCTTGACTGCTGACCACTTCTACCAGCCCCACAGCTGCCCTGCCTCAGCTGTCCCCACTATGGCCCAAACCTCTGCCCTGCTTAAATCTGGATGCCGTGGACTGTGTAGTGCTATACTGCCCATCAGGAAGGGGAGGATTGGGGGGTCACCAAGCCCCATCTGTGCCCTGGAAATGCTCCAGGATGGAAGGTCTACCTGGAGCATCTCCAGCCTTGCTCAGGCTGATGGCAGTCGGCTGGGTCCGGGCTGGGCGGGATCTCCCTCCCCCTGTCTTGCCTAGATCCAGGGAAGTCAGACATAACTGCTCAGCTCTGCCACATTCACTGTTAACAGCAACTTTCCAGGACCCCATGTGGATGTGTGTAGGTGAATCCTCCCCATCCCACAACACGGCTAACCAGGCCTTAGAGCCAGCAGGGCAGGGGGTAATCCATGGGCTCAGAGCCGTTAAACATGGTGGGAAGCCTTCTGAAGTAGCCCCATTTATGTCTGGCCCGGGTCCGTGTTGAAGTCAGGACCCCTGACTCTGCTCTCGGCGCTGAGTGGGCCCAGCTGCAAGTCCAGGGCCTTGTACACTCCACCTGGCCTGCAGTGAGGAGGCTCTGTCCTGGGAGTTCAGCAGAGCTGGCCCTCTTCCAGACTTTTTGGGCTCTTAGGCTCACCAGATGACCTCTGTGAGCCTGGGTTTCCTTCTCCATAAAGCAGGATCACATTCATCACCCTCTCTGAGACCGAGGTACCGGCTGGCTGGGGGAAGCATCAGCATTGCTCTGCCCACGAGGGGCCTCTGAGGCCACCCAGCTTGGCTGGGTTCCTGGGCCCTGATTCACCTCTGGCCTTGACTCTGCATGGCTGAATAAGGGAAGCCCTGATAGTAGTGGGACAAGGGGCAGGGGAGGCTCACAGGGGGCCTGATTCAGGAGGTCCACAGAGGGAATGATGTCAGGGGAGGGTAGCAGGGTGGGGGCAGGGTGGAGGTCCCCCTTCCTTCCTTCCTTCCTTCCCTGGCCATTTGTTCCAAGCCAGGCATGGATGGAGCCAGGGGTCCACTGACCTGTTCCACACTGGGTATTTGAGCCCCCAGATGCTGCCTGGCCATGGAGCAGGTGAGAGCACACTCTCTCCTATCACAGATCTGGGTTCCAGTCCCAGCTCTGCACTTGAGAACTGTGTTGTCCTAGTGATTTAATATCAGAGCCCTTAGCTTCCTCAACTTCAAAATAGGGGACCTGGGACTGAGTGAGGATGACATACAGGGTCTGCTCCGTCAGGGTGAAAACCTGATGTCCTGTCCCCCAGCCCCCTATCCCTAATTCTCACACATGCAGATTCTGGGGGATCAAGACACAGGGGCCACCTTGATCTTCTGGGCCAGCATCTCTTCTCCTGCGTGCCTTCTCACCTGCAAGGCCTCTGACCCTGCTCTCTATCCTGCCTGTCATGCCAGGACTTATGCCTGAGCCCCCAAAGACAACCCCCAACATGGGGTCTGTGGAAGATTGGCCTGGTGATCTGCTTGGAGGGAGCTACTCTGTGCCAGTGCTCCCAGAGCTCTACCTAGGCCAGCTTCCCTACCTGCCCTCTTGCATACAGAGGGCTGTACTCCTCCACAGACTTCTCCATAGGATGAAAAATGAAGTAAAGGCCCAGCTTCCCCGCTATGCTTACTTTGTCTGGAACTCAGAGCCAGGTATCCAGCAATCCAAGCTAACCCACAATTTCTGGGCATGTTCTGTAGGTCCAGGACCTTCCTGGCATCAGTGGCAACCTGGGGCCTCTGGTGAGGTCTCTGTCACCTATTACATGGGATACAAGATGGATTTGTACAGCCTTTGGGCCACTCTGATGACTCTGGGTACTTTGTACTCTCTGATCTTCAGACCTCAGGCTTGTACTTCTCTTCTGGGCAGGACTTCAAGGAAGTATAAAGCCAAATAGCCACACAAGATGTCCTAGGTTTATTCCAGCAGAGTTCTGAGTGCATAGAGACCATAGTTAGAGCTGTGAGTTAGGACAGTCAGTTGGGAGCCTGGCTGAGGGGGCTGGAGCCAGATGCCAGTGGGGGGTGGAACAGCAGAGCCTTGGTGCCACAGGCCTCTGAAAGGCTGTGGAGAAGAGAGGTAGCCTGCAGGGGACCAAGGAATGGGCAATGGTGAGGAAGAGCAGAGTGAGTGTGGACTACACGTGTAATCAGATTGTTAAAATCCTCTGCTGAGTGGGGGGACAAGGGCAGGGTTGAGCTGCTAGCCCAGTGGTAAGACCCCTGAGAAGACCCAGGAGGCCCTGTGGGGCAGAGTGGGGACATTATTCCCCTTCGGTGTAACCAGCCTCACTCACACCCACCTGCCAATCCGAGGTCCACACACCCTCCTGGCCTGCCTTCTCACAAGACTACTCAGTGGCAGGACTGGGCCCCAGGCCTGTAGCCTCTCGGCCCTGCCTGCCCCCACTTATGGCAGGTTTATGATGTTTTTCTCCCTCCTGAGTGGTGTTTGGCTTTTGGTTTCTATGGCGAAGTAGGAATTTCCTAATGGCCTGTTTCCCATCTGGGCTGGGCAGACATTGATGATGATTCTGCCAGTGGCAGCAGTAAGGGAGGTGCACCCCTCAGAGCCTCCATTCCACTTTTCCAAGGCCCACGGATGCCTGACTCCCAGGCCCCATCAGAGGCTGTGAATGGAAGCGGGATGAGTGGATGGGCTCCTAGCTGATCAATGTGTAAGGCCTCGCTTGCTCCGCCATGAGCTTGGCCCTCTTGATGCTGAGCTTCCATAGGCCACAGAGAGGGTGGAAAGGTGGGGAAGCTGCAGGGCTTCCTTTCTAGGAACCAGACCAGAGGGGGAAGGAGCAGCTGGTGGAGAAGGGGCACACAGCCTACCCCAGGTGAGTGGCAGATCTAGAGTTGTGACTCCTTGCCACGAAGGCCAGCATTCTGGCGCAGGGGAAAGAGCTGGGGTAGTATCCTTATCCATGCAGGGTACCAAGCCTGGTCCTGGGTGGCCCTGGGCCCAGACCCCAGCGCTTCTTGGTCCTAGTTCCCAGGCATGGTGGGCTAGTAAGCAGAGATTTCTGACCATCCTAATTCCTGCCACAGGCCTGAAGGCAGGAGCTGGCCCAATACCCCAGAGGACAGCAAGGCTCAGGCACACAGGATCCACATCGATCCCAAGGCCCAGGTATGTACATATACCACCTGGCCTGGCTTAGCCTGGCCTAGCTCAGAGCAAGCCCGGGGCAGAGAGGCCGGGCCTTGTCCACGGGTTTAACTGCATTGGATGTCCTCACTGTGGTTCTCAGATGCCCAGGTCAGAGACTGAAGCAGAAGGTTTTTCTGGGCTCTGTCCATATGCCCCATCAGGGGCTCCCAAGGTGACGGGTACCTGCTGTGGGCTCTGTCAGTACTCTAAGCAGTCCTGGATTCTGGGACAATAGTGCCTGTGGTGGGCAGGGACTGGGCCAGGCCTTGGCTCAGGGCTACCACTTACCCAGCTGGGTTTCACTCTGTCGCCCAGTGTTGCCAGATCAGGAGGAAGTCACCAGGCTTGGGGGAGGGGTGGGGGACAGCCATAGGCTGTGGAGTGACCTCAGGCTATGGGGCACTCTTCTGTCTCATCCTAGCCTTGGGCACCTACCTGGCCAGAGCCAACCTTAGAATATAAGGCACTGCCTTGCCCTATCCAAGACTGAAGTTTTCTCCTGGCCATTCCATGATCGCAGCTAGCAGACCTCAGGCTGCAGGCCTGTCTGCTCATTCACTTTTCTGTGTATGACAAGAGTCACAGCTGTGGTGCTGTCCTCAAGGAGCGTGAGGTGGAAGGCTGCTTTAGGGCCTCATTTTGCCATGGGCTTGAGGGGTGGCCAAGTGGGCAAAGCTGAGGTATCCAGAGTGAACTCGTTATTTCTGGGCCACTGAGTTTGGGCAAGGCAGAGACTCGACTGGTCTATGATGGAGCCAGAACTTGGGACCCAGCATGTGGGACCATGGCCCCCTGGGCCTGCTCATATCCACTTTCTCTCCACGGAGGCTTTGCTGTACCAGAGGGAATGATTTGCCATGGCCTCTCCCTCAACCCCTATCCCAGTCCCCATCTTTCTCTGACATTTGTTCCCTACCTTGCTTTTGCTGGCATACCTGAGGCCAGGTGCTTACCATACGCAGGGAGTGCCCATTCTGGAAGGGGAGAGGCACCTAGCAGTTCTGGGATGGAAGAAGCCAGGGGTCAAAGGAGTCCAGAGTAGGTATATGACTCAAGGGGTCAGAGAGGGCTCCCTGGAAGAGGGGGTATCCAAGCCAAGACCTAAGGGTCTGGAAGAATAAGGGAGGCAAAGGGGCATGGAGAGGAATGTGCCACATACAAAGTGAAGCGCATACAAAGGCCCAGAGGTGAGATTGTGCACTGTAGGTTCAGAGAAAAAAGTCCCAGGGGTGGCAGGGGGCAGAGGTGAGGGCTGAGGGCACAGAGAGGCTCTCGGTTTCCTCTACCCAGGACCTCAGCTGTTCTTGAAGAGATTTGTGGCCACACCTGGGTCTCAGAAGCTTGCTCTGGTAGTTCCAGGGACCCATGGGGACAGGGGCTGGGGGGCATAGACAAATCACCCAGACTTGACATAGGCGAAACGGGAATAGCGTAGTACAGGCCCCCAGCTCATGTGTGAGCCCAGCTCTTGTGTGTAAGTACCAAGATGGATAGGACAAGGAGACCTGAGCTTTGGAATATGAAGCTCAGGTCTGTTGAGTCCTCCAGGAGAGGCTCTGGGCCAGTGGGGCTGGGGGCTGGAGAACAGCTCCCTCTGTCCCACACTTTCCCTCACTGACCTCCTCAAGGGCCAGGCTGTGGGGCTCAGGCTGGAAGCAGGGGGATTTTCCACAAGCAACAGGGCAGCCCCTCAGCTGCTGCCCCCCTTTCGTACTTGAAAGGTCATGAGCTCCACGGGGAGGGGGACAGAAACACCCCCACCCAGCCCTTGTAGGGCCGTGTCCTCAGGAGCACAGATACAGGGCCCATTGTCTCCATACTGCTCCCACCCTCTACCTGCAGGGGGGAGGGCGGTGGGCCCAGCTGGAGCCATCACAGGAGGGGAAGACCACAGTTGGCCCTAAGACCAGCACAAGGTACCCTGGCACTCACCAACTGGGGCTTCAGGCCCACCTTCCATATAGAGTCATTGGAGTCTCCTTCTCTCAGCCCTCACGTGGGAACACAGCCCAGAGTGGAGGAAGGATGGTGATCAGGAAAGTTTTCCCGGAGAGGGTGGCATTTGAACTGAGAACCAGGTGATAGGTTAAGGCAAGCCAGGTGCAGCAGGCAGAGCAGGACTCAGCCTGTCCTCTCCAGACCAGCAGGGAGCTGGAGCTTGGCCTCTGGGAGGTGCCACCTGCTCACCTGGATTTAGTGCCCACCTCTGTCCAAGTTGAGTGTCCTAGATTCTGACCACAGTCATGCTGGAGCTGATGAGCAAGCTAGCAGTTACCCCCATGCTGCTGACTAGCCCCCTGAGACTTCACAACCAAATCGGCAGCTGGCGGGGACTCAGACACGGGGAACACATGGTACCAGGCACACCATGGAGAAGGGAAGTCCAGGAATGGGGG